GCTGCGGGCCCTGCAGGCTGACTCCCAGGCACTGCAGCAGCGGGAGGCCTCCATCCGGGGCTCGCTGGCCTCTCTGGAGGCCGAGCAGGCCAACATCCGGCAGCTGGGCGAGCAGATGGAGGCCAGCCTCCTGGCTGTAAAGAAGGCCAAGGAGACCATGAGGGCCAAGGTGGCTGAGAAGGAGGCTGCCTTGCAGACCAAGGAGGGTGAATGCCAGCAACTACGGGAGGAGGCGGAGCAGTGCCGGCAGCTGGCAGAGGCCCGGGCTGGGGAGCTCAAGGCTCTTGAGAGCCAGTGCCACCAGCAGAGCCAGCTGATTGCGGCCCTCACGGAGGCCAAAGGCGCTGTGGAGCACGATCTGCCCCGCGATGGCACAGCCTCTGAGCTGGCAGCCCAGCTGGCCCGGTCACAGGCGCAGCTGGAGGTGCACCAGGAGGAGGCCCGGCGGCTGCAGGAGAAGGTGGTGGGCCTCCAGGCTGAGCTCCAGGCGGCCCTGGCTGAGCAGGACAAGGTGCAGAGCCAGCTGAGTGTGGCCGAGGCTGTCCTGAGGGAGCACAGAGCCCTCGTGGAGCAGCTGCAGGAGCAGAACGAGGCCCTCAACAGGGCCCACGTCCAGGAGCTGCTCCAGTGCTCGGAGCGTGAGGGGGCGCTGCAGCAGGAGAGGGCGGGCGAGGCCCAGCGGAACGAGGAGGAGCTGCGGGCCCTGCGGGAGACGCTGTCCCAGGCCACTTGCCACTCCGAGGAGGCCCAGCTGCAGCATGCCGAGCTGCAGGAGCAGCTGCACCGGGCCAACACCGACACGGCCGAGCTGGGCATGCCCGACGAGAAGGATAGTGTGGAGGGGGCACTGGCCCGCGCTGCCCAGGAGCTCCAGGACTACAAGGAAGCTGCCTCCCGGGAGCGCGAGGGCCTGGAGTGCCAGGTGGCAGGGCTGCAGCGTGAGAAGGAGAGCTTGCAGGAGAAGCTGCAGGCGGCTGAGGAAGCAGCTGGCTCGCTGCCTGGCCTGCAGGCCCAGCTGGTCCAGGCCGAGCAGCAGGCCCAGAGCCGCCAGGAGGCTGCCCAACAGGA